ATTAGAACTAGCTAAGCTTACTAGGCCTAATTCAACTCTATTTATTTAATTAATAAAACAGAATAGAAAGATACTATAATCCGGTATTTCTATTTAAATATAGAACTAATAGACCTAAAACTAAAAAAAGCGATTTTATATAATTAAAACTACTTGCCTTTAAGCTTTATACTCAAATAAGGCTTACTTTTATATAAAGTATTTAATACTAGTTACTATATACCTTATTTGAATCTACTAACCTATAGATCCTATATAAAACAGATCTATAAGAAATATAGATACCTTAGTTAGCCTGGATTAAATAAAGTTCTTTATTCAAGAGCTTAATAGCCCTTAATTAAAAAGAATATCCAAAATCAAATTTGTATATATTCCAATTATTAAATAATAAAGAATTCCTATCTGGAAATAAATAAAAGGTTTTGAAACTCTTTTAAAAGAGAAAACATCTAGCTCTTTAAATAATAATTAATTAATTTAATTGGAATTCTATTCCGAACCTATTCTAGAAACTAATAGATTATTATAGCTATTAAACGGTTAATAAACTGGCCTATTATTTAAGTACTAAAAGATACTATAAACTAGAATATAATAAATTTCTTTTAAAAAGAGATTTTTACTCTTTATAGAACTCTAAATAAAATTCTTATAAATAACGGTTCTAATTTAATATTGGAAACTATAAATACTTTCTTTTAAATAGTAGGAGTCCGGTATTATATAACTATTTTATATTATTTATAAACTAATAGAAAAGTCAAGTAATTTAATAGAATACTAGAGAAAATACTTATATAGTATTTATATAACAAGCCAGTTATATTCTGAAATAAGTACTTATATTAAATACTTTTTATTATATAAATTAGAATCTATTTAATTAATAAATATAGTTTGTTTTTTCTCCTATTTGAAATAGATTTAAGACTTTCTAGAGATCCAAATAAAGCCAAACTAGTAAATAATTAAAAAGCTTATCTGAAAGAAATAATTATTAGATATATTATTATAAATAAAACTCGACTAGTATATAATAAGTTTTTAATAGAAAGAGCTATTAAAATATATATTATATAAAATCAAATTCTTAAAAAGAATAAGGATATTCTAGTAGAAATCTATATTCTTATATAAAACGAATTCCTATTAAAGTTTAAATTAAAATAGTTTGGCTCCTATAAAATTATACTAGCTACTTTAATTAGAATATATACTTTATAAAATACTTATAGAAAGATTCTTAAATCTCTTATTTATAAAAATCGATTTATATAATTATATCTAAATATAATATATAACTTTAACTAATTATATAAACTCTATAACTTAATTAACTCCTTAAAAGATATTCGAAATATATTTAAATAGGAAAGAGTTCCTATATATTTTTATAAGGAATTAGAAACTCTTTATAAACGAGAATAGTTAAACTTCCTAATCTAGAAACTAGATCGGTTCAAATTAGGAAAGAGAAAACTTAATAATATTTATATTAATTAAACTCTTTTTAATAAGCTTTAATTAAAGATAGAATATAAAGAAAAACTAAAAAGAAAAGAAGCCAAATAAGAATTAGTTAAGGAATCCCTTCTTTTTTTGGCTCTTCTACCTTTTTATACCCCTTTAGAATAGGTTTGCTTAAGCCTTAATTAAATACTTGAAAGCCAGTTATAGATTCTAATAGTAACTTCTCTTAGAATATATTCGGAGCCCCTAATTAATAGATTAATAGAATAGCCAGAAGTAGAAAGAAATAGATCTATATAAAAGAATAAAATCATATACTTATCTATATATAGTATTATAGTTCTACTAAATCAGATACTAGAATCTATAGTTATAAAGTCTATTATAGAAAAGAAGTCCTCGGATAAAATCTTTAAAATAATAGTAATTACTTCAAATAAAGCTAAAAAAAGTTAAGCTTCTATAGCTAACTAAAAGGAAAATAGAATACCTAAAAAAGTTTTTTAAAATAGTAAAAGAACTATTAAATATATAAATAATCAAACCAAAATCTTCCTTAGCTAAAAAGACTAGATAAAGAACTTATATAAGCTATAGATTAAGGAAATCTTTAATTCTTATAAAGAATAAAAATGGAACTAATTATAGTACTTGAAAAATATAATATTTAAAAATAAGAACTTTATTCTTTTATAAAAAACCATATAATAAATTAAATAGATATTATATATATCTATAAGACTATTTTATATCCTTTTTATAAGAAATTATTATAAACGAAACCCAAGAACTCTAAATAAATAGCCTTTAGCCCAGATAGCTACTCTTTCAATTATTAGATCCTTTACTAGTACTATATATATGCTTTTTAAAGTCCTAAAACCCCTAATATATCCTCTACTAGTTCTATATATAAATACTTAATAATATTTCTTTTTACTAGAACTAGAACCAGAAGATTAATAATTATTCTAATTATTCTTAGTTTTAAAGTTCTTATATAAATTAGAAGGAGTTTATAGATATAAGAAAAATCCTTAATTATTTAGACTAAATAAATACTAAAAATAAACTAAAAGACTTCCGAATAAAGCTTTAAAAGCTTAATTATAATTAAAATTAAAGAATCCAGAAGATCCAGAATAAGAACCCAAATCTATAAAAAATCTAGGCTATAAATAAAAAGAATTGAGAATACTAGAATAACTTCTAATACCCGAATAAAATAGTAATTAAATCTATATACTATTTAATTATATATCTATAATAGATCTATTAAAATAGAATCGAATATAGCTATAAAACTAACTAGCTATTATAGAAGCTATAGATTCTCCTAATTAGAAATTACTCGAATTAAAGCAAATATATCTATCTATTTCTATTTAGGAAATAGAGTCTATTTATAATTAAAAAGAATAAAGACCTATTATTAGACTACCTAAATCAAATATATTCTTATTACTCGAGGTAATCTAACTATTATTATTATTAGAAGAAGAATCTTTTCTAATATTAGGAACTATATAACCTAAAATAAAAAGATTTCCTTAATATTAAAAGATATTAATAATATCTTACTATTTGTTTATAGCTATTTTAATACTATTAGGAATATTTAAATCAAACCGGAATCCGATTCGAATATAACTATATAAAGTACTTTAGTATAAAGATATATAAATATAATAAAGAGAAATAGAAGCTAGAGTTAGAACTTAGCTTAAACTAGAAAAAAACCAAGAAAAGAAATATATTTCTGCCCGAATAAAGAAAATATAAAGAATCTTGGCTATTCTAATAATAATTAGTATAAGAGCTATTAAATAGAAAAGGAAAATTAATAAAAGAATTAGAAACCTTATTATTTAAGGATTTATAAAAAGAAATATATTAGGAGAATAAGCCAGATCTCTTCTTATATTAAGTATATTTTTAATTATTTACTAGTCCTATAATCTAAAAAAGACTAGCTTTAGATATAGAGGAATAACTATAAAAATTAATTAACTTCTCCTTATATTAGCTAAGTTCTTAATAAACTTAGATATTTATATAAAGCTAGTAAGAAGCTTTCGAATAAATTATTTAAAAGATAGTCTTAATCTCGATTTCTTACTAGCTTAGCTTTCTCTTTATATAAAATCAGTTCTAAATAAAGAACTAGAATATATAATTTATAGAACTCTTATATCTACTAATTATACTAGAATAATAAGGAAGCTTACTTCTATTACCAAAACTATTACTTCTAAAACCTATAATATAACTACCAGAAATAATATCTATATTAGCTATAAAGGCAATATAGATACAAATTAAGAGAATAAGAAGAAGGTAAAAAAGCTTTATAGTACTAATTTATATATAAAGCCAGAAGCCAGAAGCCAGAAGAAAAAAGAAAAAAAGATAAAAAGTAGATATAAATAAATAATTAAACTAGGAAATAGTTTAAGGGAAAGGGAATAGTATATAGAGAATCTTGGAAGACTTATAAAGCGACCGAAATATAAAGACTTGAGATAGTAGTATTAAGGTTATTAATAGAAAGGAGAAAGGATTATAAATAAGTAAAAGAGACTTTCTTATACTTGCTTAGGCGAATTTCCAGAGCTTTAATTTGCCTATTTAATAGGAATTACTAAGACAGAACTACTTGGAATATACTCAAATAAACCTTCCTAAAGCAAATAAACCTTAATTATACTCGAACGAATCTGGCAAGAGCTAGAAAAGGAAAATATAAGTAGGATATAGGTTAAAAACGTATAAAAATAGACCCTTTTTATCCGGTTTAGTATATAAAAGAAGTAATAGCAAGAACTCCCTCGGATAAAAGAATCTTAAGATAAAAGGAGACTAATTAAGGAGATTTGCAATTTTCTTTTATAAAAAGGGATTCGATTAATATAGAATTATGGCAAATAGTTTTGATATTCTCTCTTTTCGTACGAACTTCAGGAGTAAGTTTGCTTTTAAGTAGGGGAGGATATGATTTCTGATTATGCTTTTGTATATAATCTAATTATATATAGAATCACATAAGCTCGTTCGAGCCTATTAAAGGCCCCGAACGTGCAGGAATGGAAACGTTACGTCCTTTTTAACCTTTCCAATCACAGCCCAGGGTGCTCAGTGTGCTCAGGTTGCTTAGGTAAGTTGCTCAGGTTGATTAAGTTACTCAGGTTGCTCAGGTTCCGCAGGCGAGTTGACTGAGCCGAGGGTGAGCCGAGGGTGATTAGCGCCTGAGCAAGAGCGGCAAGCTTACTAACTGAATGCGATGTACGAGAAAGGGAAAATCGATTCATGATACCTATAAACTCAGGATTTATTTCCCCTTTCGCTAATTTTATTTTAGTCTCCGGACATGAGCAACTGCTGCTTTAACCTAAGCTGAGGGTGAGCAAGCCTGAGCAGAGCCTGAGCAAAGCCTGAGCGAGCCTGAGTATCCTGAGCACGCCCTTAGTCAGCCTGTGCACTATAATGTGGAACCCATTTTAGCCTCCTGTATGCCCTGGCCGAAAGTGCAATTCTTTGCGCTCATGTAGTGATGGACATCGTAACGGGCAATCCGTTCGGAGATTTGGTTCATAATGAGGACCGATATGAGTATTTGAAAAGCACCGCGGACTCATTACCTGCTATTGCGATGGTTTCTTCTATACCGTGGGCAGGGAAGATATTACAGAGCGAATGGATTGCGCCATTGATTGCTCCAGCATCTTCTGAGTACGGGATTGAGAATATTGTTGAGTATAGCTTGACCCTTCTATTCATATCCCCCTACTGACTTAGTTATGTTAGCATCGCCACAAAAATGGTCAACGAAAGATCAATGACAAGAACAGAACCGAGGGAGAAGACATGCTCTCCACATTCCTTTCTAATGGCATCACTCCCCAAGAAGCAATCTACGAGTCAATGATCACGATCCTCGGCGGCTCAGACAACATGTCAATCGCTCTACGCTCCTGTCTTCTTTTCAGCATCATCAATCCTCGCGTCTATAATACCCTTGTTTCCGAAATCCTCTCTCATTCTCTCCCCGCCAACCCCATCCCCTCCTCCGCTCAGCTCCGTAATCTTCCCTATCTCCAAGCCACCATAAAAGAATCCCTCCGTATCTTCCCTCGAGGCACAGGACAGATGCCCAAGCTCGCTCCACCAAGCGGTGGCAATCTCAATGGCGTGTTCATCCCAGGCGGGACGAACGTCGGGACAAATCCCTCACCAGCCTGGTACGTCATGCGCGACCCTGTCAATTTCGGACCCGATGCTAGCCTTTCATACCTGAGGGACGGATTAATGTTGATGAGGAGAGAAGGAAAGAGATGGAGTATGTGTGGGAACTGGTTTGGGGGTATGGAAAGTATAAATGCCTCGGACAAGGAATCGCATTGGCGGAGTTAGGTAAGGTGGTTTTTCAAGTAAGTTGATTTTTGAATATTCTTTTTCCTTTATTGATATTTGTCTTCAAGTGAGACACAAAGGGGAGAGAGAATATCAAAGGAAGGGAAGGAGAAAAGTGGCTAATGCGTGACAGCTACTGAGATATTTTGAGTGGGAGATCGTGGATCCGACTAAGCCGTGGGAATGTAGGAATGTGGGAATTTGGATACAGAAAGATATGAATGTCATGGCCACGGAAAGGGTTGTGGCTGGTGAAAGGTTGACAGAAACTTGAATGTAACAATTACTACAAATATGTGACGGTGAAAAGCAAAAGTCATGTCCATCTCAGACGTCGACTCTCATTATATGATTCGGACTCTGTTAAGGAGGAGGACGCTGACTTGAATCCGAGCCGAGGACGTACGGTGACAAGATCAGTACGTTCTATTATGATTGCAATACTAGCGCATTTACTATCCCTGTTGTAGTCTTGGCGCTATCTACCTATGTAATAGGAATTTCGTTACTTTGGAAAGTCTGGCCTCGGACAGCTAGGGGTTAAGATAATCAGCAATAAAGAGAGATGCCTGACTGTGTGAGATGGGTCTATGATAGTCCAAGATAAGAGGTATGCTAGTTCTTTAACCCTTTACCTAAACATAGAGCATTATACGAGTCTCAGCCAAATCTGGTGCCCCTGGTAAATTTGCCTAGAGAGATTACGCATATTAGTATTATCTATCGCGGGTCAATGCAATAAAGCCGAGACGACCGCGTTGTAGGCGTTATTTCCATTCATAATTACCACACGCGATTGGGACTAATTTTCCCACAGTAACTCCCCTTCAGGGGGAGAAAGACATCACAAGTAGCAAGGGCGAATTTGTTTAAATTAATCAATTAGCACTATATCTAGCAGCCCTCCGCCTGGCAGAGCGAAAAACCCGACCACATGCCCATTGCCCAGAGCTAGCTCCAAGTAGACCCAAACGGCGTCAAAGCGATAGTATTAAACACTGTCTCTCCCCCATCGGAAACGATATTGATGTCCTTTGATTCCTGGTAATGTGGGAACACAGTCGCAGTCATCGCCGTCCCATCTCCAGTAAAGATCTCAACACTTGAGCGATCGATAAGAACATCGAGAGCCAACTTTTCATTCAACGATACGTCAATGATCGCACTCCATGTCCCAGCTTGGCCATACCCGGCATTCGTAGTATCCAGGGTGAGGGTTTTATTCACGACACTGTAGGTAAGGACTACCGATTCAGCGATGGAAGAATACAATTGTACGGTGAAGGCAGGTGCGTTAGTAGATGCAAGATCAACCGTCATCTGGAGTCGAGCAGTGTTCGAGGATCCCACAGTAATGGTGCCGTGAACATTCGTCTGTCCCAAATTTTGGACCTCTCCACTTGCAAGTGTCGACACTTCGTCAATAGGCTTACTTCCAAGCCCTCCATCAGCACGAACGAACAGCTGTCGAGTAATAGATTGTGCACCAGCCCATCCATTGACACGACTGGGCCATTTAGAAGTTCCCCAGTTACCCATCCAGGTGATAACAAGATTGCGTCCAGCAGAGTCTATGTACCACTGAGTAGCATAGCTGTCAGGTCCAGCATCCAAAAGCCCAGTTTTTTCCGAGGTGAACTTTGTTCCATCAAAGGTACCGACATCGTACCATCCGAGACCATCGCCGCCATAGAACAAAATCCATTTGCCATCAAGTGGGAAGAAGTTGGGGCACTCCCACATGGTTCCGGTACTTCCATTGCCCTCGAAGAGGACGCCAACATAATCCCAGGTAAGAAGGTTAGGGTCTGTTGACTTGAAGAGTTGTACCTTGCCGCTCGTCGTATCGCCTGAGCCGACAACCATCTTCCAGATATTGTCGGTGGTGTCCAAGAATACCTTCGGGTCTCTAAACCCGCTGGGTGAATCCGAAGGAGGGGCTGCAATGATTGGGTTTCCGGAGTATAATGGGAAGTCAATGCCGTCAGTACTCTTTGCCGTCGATACGACTTCAGGAAGCAAGTTGGGGTGCAGAGCGATATCGGAAAAATCGGTGAAGATGAGCTGGAGCGCGCCTGTATCATTGTCCAACGCTGCGCTGCCTGTGAAGCGGCCACTGCTATCTAATGGATTATCAGGGTAAGGCGGGAAAAGCGCCACAGGTAATTCGCGCCAATGTACGGCATCGGAGCTGTCCACATGCGACCAATGCATAGGACCCCACAATGGTGCGGCGGGATTGAATTGACTGAAGAGTTGGTGACGGCCATTCCATTCAATCAGGCCAGCAGGATCATTAATCCAACCTTGGTAAGGAGTGTAGTGGAATTGTGGACGAATCGGGTCTGAAGCGTAAAGCTGCGTAGTCGACAGTGAAGTTGCACTCTGCGGAGGTTGATTGACTTGGCCAAGAACATTAAAGGTAAGGCCACCATCACCAAGAGCGTCGCAACCAGTACGGACATCGTCCAAGTTGATATGACCCCATGATGCAGCAGTACTATTATCGTAGATAATCATGTGGACCGTCTCTCCAGCATAACCGCTGGTATCCCAGATAATGCGGATCATGGCCTCATCATTGGTCCCCGTCTGGCTGAAAAGGAGACTACCATCGCTCTCTCGAACCAGCCCAACGTAGAGATTGACAGGACCCCAACCACCACCGACCAGGAAGCTCATTACGGAGCTCGCTTGGAACGTGCTTGAGCGAATTTCTCCGACTGCAGGATCCCCAGACTGGGGAAAACCCCACAAGAAGTAGTTGCCAACTTTGTTGAATGAACCTCCCCAGTAAGTTGGGGATGAGCTCACAGAGGCGCTGCCAAAGGCATCGCCACTGACGACTTCCCAGCCATCAAGGGTACCGGTCTCGAAGCTTGGGTTAACAGGGCCAGCGTAATAATTGCTGAGGCAGCTGGTTGTTCGAGGAATTGCTTTACCGAGAACACCAGCTTGAAAAATCAAGTAGGAGAGAAATGTCTTGATTAAGCCCTCATGAAAAATGGCGTTCTTCATTGCAAAAGCTTGGGAATTAGCCTCAAGCAAGATTTCCGGAATGAGGAAGGAGGAAAAGATGATGTTGATGCAAAAGACGTAGGTAAAGATCGATCCTTTTATACTTGTCGCGGACCGATGCTTCCCAAGCTTCTTGCCGCCTTCGGCCATTCCGTCAACAGTTTCTGAGTCTTACAGACTAGTTGCTATCACGATAAACAACCCATCAAAAAGGTAGTAGCGTATGCCCATGTGTATAGAATAGCTTCGGTAAGAGGCCCCAGGACATTCCACAACCCCGCACGAGAACTTTTCTGAGGCGGGGTAATGATGATCACGAATGCATGAAAATTTGCGAGAAATTGGGCGGTCAGAAAAGCCTCCATAAGTTTTATGAACCTTGATACTTGAAAGTCTCCGCATGTGAAGACGTGACAATCATTGAAAATGGAGAAACTGGAGAGAACAAGGCTGCATCGGTGCGCAATAATGCCTCAATCTTCCGCAAGACATCTCGCACCTTCCAGATTCGTAGCTATATGCCGATGTCACTATTCTTCGCCTGCACGACGCTGCATATCACATTCTCCTGGTGAAGAGCCTTGCAGTGGCATTTCTCCGTTCGTGCCAGGGAGATCTGCGGCGTGAGCTAGGAGCTAGCGGATATCGGAAAGCCAACAGCGACAACCGAACCAACCCTTCCGCAGGTAGAAGCGCTACGCGGATGTCGGAAAGCCAACAGCGACAACCGAACGAACCCCCTTTTAAATACATCGTTCAGTTGCGGGGAGAGGTCCAGAACCATACACGTGAAAACCGTTTTCGGTGGAGCCTCTCATTATGGGGAAGGGGCAAGGAGCCTAGTTAGTCAAAATTTCAGCCGAGATCCCTGTAATCCAGATGATACCTTAAAAACCTCGATGTGTTTTGCTTACTCAATTGAGTTCAACGCTCAACCAGTCGATAACGGACGCGTATGACTAGAATTATACAGTTTCGATTTTCGAAATCAGGTCAAAGCGAAGCCAGGATGTTCACGGAAAGTTCTTTCGGAAGGCTTAATCAGTTGCTCCTTCCTATTCAGTGCTATTTTCCGAAGGACAAGAGAGTCTCGGTGACATCCGGGGCTCCCGCCTACTCCAGATGAGGGCCGCACATTGTCGGGGAGTCAGGATTTTCAAGTATTTTCGTGTAAACTGACACTCAATCAGATTCCAACTTTCGGACTCCACCAGTTCAGCTATAAAAGTCTTTGGCCTTCCCCCTTAAGTGGCCTTCACTCGACAACGAGCAGGCCTTCTTGATCACCCCAGCCTTGCGCCTGACTTCTGACACCAATCAAGTTTTGTAATATTTTGCTCATTCATAGGCTTCAGACGCAATGGGTCTCATGCTGAGGAAGCCCGAAGGCACACCAGGGAAATCTTGGCCTGCCATCTTGATAGGGTTGTTCGTAGCATTTGGTGGTGTTCTGTTTGGGTAGACCAACACTCATTCTCTGCTCTCCTAATGTCGAACGCTCATTCTGGCCATCAACAGATATGATACTGGTACAATCAGCGGCATTCTTGCCATGAAGTACTGGGATCGCGAGTTCTCCACTGGCTATAAAGACAGTGATGGCAATCTCAATATCACAGCTTCACAGTCTGCCACGATCGTCTCAATTTTATCGGCCGGAACATTCTTCGGCGCCCTCACTGCCGCACCAATTGCAGATGCTATTGGTCGCCGATTTGGTCTCATTTCCTCAACATTAATCTTTATCTTTGGAGTCGTTCTGCAAACAGCGGCGACAGCTATACCTCTCTTCGCCGCCGGCCGATTCTTTGCTGGCTTTGGTGTTGGCTTGATCTCTGCTATGAGTAAGTGAAACCAGGCGACTTGGTTTTGAGCATTCCATTAAATAACGTGTACAGTTCCCCTCTATCAATCCGAGACCGCTCCAAAGTGGATCCGTGGAGTTATCGTCGGCTCATATCAGTTGGCCATTACTATCGGGCTTCTACTTGCTTCAATTGTCAATAATGCAACACACGATCGGAACGACACAGGTTCATATCGCATACCAATTGCTGTTCAATTCGCCTGGGCCATTATCCTTATTAGTGGAATGTTGATTCTCCCCGATACCCCTCGCTACATGATTAAAAGAAATAACCTTGCTGCTGCTACCAAGGCACTCGCCAGAATCAGGCGTCTTCCTGAGGCCGATCCCGCTGTCACCGAAGAACTTGCCGAGATTCAAGCAAATCACGAATACGAATTAAGCCTAGGAAAAGCAACTTACTTGGATTGTTTCAAGGGAAACCTCCTCAAACGTCTTCTCACAGGGTGTCTCCTTCAAGCCCTGCAACAGCTTACTGGTATCAACTTTATCTTCTACTACGGGACCCAATTCTTCAAAAACTCTGGTTTTCACAATTCTTTCGTCATCAGCTTGATAACCAATTGTGTTAATACTGCCTCTACATTCCCCGGACTGTACGCTATTGACAAGTGGGGTCGCCGTCCCGTCCTTTTCTGGGGAGCTGTAGGAATGTGCATCTCCCAGTTCCTAGTCGCCATTCTGGGGACGACTACTACTAGCCAGGACGCTGCAGGAAACATCATTGTGCACAACCTCGCGGCGCAAAAAGCAGCTATCGCCTTCATCTGCATTTACATCTTCTTCTTCGCAGCATCCTGGGGCCCCATCGCATGGTAAGTCTTGCGCTATATCTACACCGACTCAAAACTATCCGGTACCAAACAAAACTAACAAGTTCATCTTTTCACAGGGTCGTCACCGGCGAGATCTTCCCTTTGAAAGTTCGCGCCAAGTCGTTATCAATGACAACAGCCTCGAACTGGCTTCTCAACTGGGCTATCGCATACAGTACCCCATACCTCGTGAATTATGGGCCAGGCGATGCGAACCTCCAGTCAAAAATTTTCTTCATCTGGGGAGGCTGTTGCTTTATTTGCATCGCGTTCGTGTATTTTATGATCTATGAAACCAAAGGCCTCACGTTGGAGCAAGTGGATGAACTTTATGCAGAGGTAAGCGATGCAAGACAGAGCGTGGGATGGGTTCCTACCACCACCTTCAGGGAGATTCAAGAGGGTGAGAAGAAGGGTATTGAACCGGCTGAAGTCGAGACGACCCAGGATGTGTAGACTGCCGGGTTGGCGAGTACGAATTCTTGCCTCCTGCAAGTGAGAGAAGATATGGGGCTAATTCTTCTGGTGTGTGGATGGTGAGAGGGGCGGTAACTAGAGTTTTGTGTTATATTACAGGAAATGAATCAGTAGTGTCTGAGAACTTTCCTGCCTTGCAACGTCAATGCTACCGAAGTAAAGAAGTACCGCGATATAGATCAACAATAGCGATTGATATGGATGAATAATTCACAGATCCTTCTTCAAATAATAACACGTTAAAGGAGGTTCTATTGGCGATCACTTTCATTCTTAATGCAAGACACTGAACTTTCGATTCAGATCTTGTTTCCCACATGCTCCGTCAAGATCGATCTGATTCTACGCAGGGAAGGGCTAAGTGGTATAGCTTGGGAAGTTTGGAAAATTTCTGCAGCGACGGTAAAACACCGTATGACAGTCGATGAGATAACGGGACGAAGGCTGGGTGATTGGGTGCCTTTAAGGGCTGCCATTGTTGTTATGAAAATACTGTAAGACTGATTAGATAAAACCAAGCATCTCGAAGAAACTATTGTTTACGAACTTACCTAGCGTGAATACTCCAAGGGCCTTGCGGACAAGATCGTATGGCTCCTGCTGCACTGGTGATAAAGCCGGTGTATGCTCCGAAAAATAGCGCGCTGTCGGCAAGAGTTTTTGCCGCCGGTGTATCTGAATATATTATACTGTAAATCGCAGGCCAATAGATACCTGCAAGAACAAGGTGGTATTGCATCTGCAGAAAGTTGGTAACGGCAGCCAGGGTGGAAAGCGAGTGCGGACTGGCATAATGCATGGCGTCATCGGGGGCGGGTATAGCACTGCGCTCGAAGCGAAGGCCAAGGGGAAGATGGTCATACCAGCTCTCGAGTTGGTGCGCAAGCTCGACGGCAACTATGGGGGCATAGACCTCTTTATTATGAGATATCGTCACAGAAGTAGTGCAGCGTCGAATCATGCGGCACATCGAGATTTCGGCTAAGAAGTAGGCTTTCGCATCGTTTGGGGTGATTGCGGAGTGGTCAGGCAGCAGTATTTGGTCTAGTAAGTGGCGCTGATCATCACGAAATGGTTGCCAACTGTCGTGTACTCCTGGAAGAAGGATTCGATCATCGAATTTCCATATGTTGCTTTCAGGCATATCGATATGATAGCCCAGTTCCCTGTGGGGCCATTAGTTTCGCACTCCGAAGCCTTGGGATCAACACAGAAACATACGTTTCAATTAGAAGAATAGACCAAAAAGACCTCCTGAGGATTTCCATCGTCGCATCGTCGCCGTCGTAAAGGTGGCTGGCAAAAGGAAATCAACAAGCACTCAACATGTCAAAGTAGAGATTTAAATTACCATTTGAAAAGGGCTTGCGCCTTATAGGAAGCCATCAAGATGTAGTCATGCGCCTGACATGGTTTTCCAATGCAATTATAATATATGCTCAGAAGAACAAGGCATTGAACGCTCCTTAAACTGAACTCAAAATTCACATTCGGGAGCATCGACAGAGCTCCTGCAATAAAGCTGGCATCAGGTTGCTGTTCATAGGCAACTGAAAAGGAAGAACATTGAGCTACTGAACCAATAGCAGCTATAAGAAGAACAAGACAGGAGTCCGAGGAAGAATCAAGATTGCCACTGATCTTGTCGAGATAGATGTCAAAACAGTCAGGGGGCAAGACAGGGTACCAGTGATGTATCTTCTTGTAGAATGTCCCAAACGCACTAAGAGATTATGTCAGGCCCCGAGGACGATCGATTCCTGGCAATTACTTACCTTATTGCATCTTGGTACTGAATTTTAAAGCCACGAAATTCCCCAGGTGGCGTCAAGGTGGACACACCAGTCCTCTCCTCTGTGACCATTTGAGCCGCAAGCCTTGGATTGAGCCCAAGCAGGAGCATCATCGAAGGCGTTTGAATTGTCATAAAAGGAAACTCTGACCGCCAATTCCGACTGATGATTGACTCATCCATGGGATATCCACCAAATCTAGGTAAAGAGATGCCTGCAATGCTCCCTGAAATCCCGGAATTGGACAACAAGCTGCACATATATTCCAAGCGCTCCTTTATGGAAGAAAGTTCCTGTTCAGTCCTGTGGAAGGTTTAGTTCAATATATTTTTATGAGATTGCTGTTTGACTGACCTTGACGGAGCCAGAGGAGCGGCGCTACGATAGTTGCATAGTATGCCGTGTGCTTCGCAAAACGAACAAGACGGCTTGACGCCATCGCATTTTGTTCTTCTAGAGCGACACACATCGCATGCTAAGGTGGCCCTTTGCCGAGTCGAAGATACATTGGCATTGGTTGACATGATCACTTGCTCCTGTTGTTTTTCCTCTGCCGGAGACGATGAATTTTCAGAGAGAAGTTGGTCGTGGAGAATTATGTAAGGCCACTGGGCTAAGGTCAAAGTTACGGCAATCGAAAATGGCCAATTAGAAATCCAAGGCTAGCGGCCAATAAATACAAAAGGAGTGCGCCCCTGCCAACCCCTGCAACATCCCTGTTCTGCTCGCGTAGCATTCCTAAAACATGGGTGCACACCGACGCCGAAAGTGGTAATGACAGGAGGCTAACTCTGTTTAGAATATATAAGTACCCTCTCTGGGCAGACCTTAGAACAGGTGCTTATATAAAGAGAAAACTGTTTGGTCCCTCCTAGCCTTCCACATTCAAAAATTGTCGCTTTTGTGATTTTTTTCATATAAGACCCTATTTCTTATATACTATCTCGCGGCCCTATATATATACTCACCTCCTTGGGTATAACGCATATTTACTGCTCTTGCCCAAGGTGTGCCTTTCACCAAGCCTTGCAAATAGCTTTATTCTTTGCACTTATAGTTTTTATACTATAGCTCCATATCCCTATTATATTAATACTATAATATTCTCCAAGTATTAGTAAAGTTATGTCTTCGAGCTCTAGTTCGAGCCTCGAGATTCTCCCTGGGACAAATATATTAACTACGGGTAGTTATATGCTCTCGAAGCAAGGCTGGCAAGAGTTGAAACCTACCATTCGATACTTGTATCTGGACCAGAATCGGACTTTGAAGCGGCTTGCTAAATATACCCAGAATACCTATAGACGCAGAATTTATCTTCCTTTTAGCTAATTCTATTTTAGTCTCCGGACGTGAGCAACTGCTGCTTTAACCTGAGCTGAGGGCGAGCATGCCGGAGCAGAGCCTGAGCAAGCCTGCGCACTAGAATATGAAATCATTTTGGCCTTCTGCCTGCCCCGGTTGTAGTTTCCTTACCGAATTTTGCCCGGGAATTCGTTTCTGTTCCCTTATAGGGTCTAGCTGGAGCAATTTTGGATCTCTCTTGTTAAAGGTTACGTGACTAGTAATTTAGGCCTACGGTGGGTTGTATTGACTTCAATGTGAGTCACGGGTCTCTATTACATGGATAGAAAAATCTGGATCCACTAGCGTCTGAATGGAAATAATGTGGCTGTCACCAGGGCCAGAGGATCAGGATATATCGTGCCTGATGCCATTGCCACGAATGCCCGAGGAACTAGAATATTAGATATGATGTGGCTGCTATCGATGCCTGAGGAGAAAGATATATCAATGATGATATAGTTGCATTGTACTATTCACCTTCCTCAAAACCTAGCAAAACATTGCTGACGTCCAGTCCTCTTTACCATGTATTTACCTATTCTTTCCCTAAATGGCAGAGCTATTGCCGCAATCTTGCTGCTTTACCCTTTACCCATCGTGACTATAACGAATGCACATTAACACAAGGATGTAAAAAACGACTCGCTATTGGTGCTAATAAGCGTAACCCCGTGCCCTAGAGTGCTTCAAGAGTACTATTTGGCCCTTACAAAGTCCACTAGTCAAATGTTTCCTATTTTGCTTACGATTAGTTGCTTCTTGACTTTTTATATAATGGCTGGAATGTCTAGGATAATTGCAGAGGCTCTTGGGAGTCGACTATATCCGATTAGTTATCTTCCTTACCCGGCTGAGATAATATTGCGAGATCCGAGGGCTGTAGTTAATGTTAGTCGGATAGAGGATCAGGTAGTTGATTAACGGCTGAGCGGGGTTTCTTAAAGTGTACCGGACTATAGATGTTGTAAGTATTCCTCGTAAATATTTAAGCCGTCCACTTATCTTTACTATCTTTATTCGTAATATCAAACTTTTTAATAGTGTAATGGTAGACGAAAGTCTGGTCTCTATTAATAATAGGGTAGTAACTATATATAGATCTTGATAGCCTCTTAGTTATGCGAAACGGAAAACGAGAGGATCTTTCGATTAAGTTCGTAATATTAGAATACCTTACAGTACAGATCGACTACTTATTTAATAGCAATACTAGAGCTACGAGCCTTTTATCGATCTGCAATATTAAGCCCTTCATTCTCACACTTTACTTCCATCGTAAGATACGGAAAGTATATCTAGGCTGAGCTATGAAAGGCATACCTTTTCGCCCTTTAATAAAAAGGTTCCAATTTCCGAAGTTGAGCCTTTGTAAATATGGTCTAAAATCTATAGGCACCTAACTTCAAGTCACTTGAAGCCTGCCAGTATTGCCGAATCTCTTTAATTACTTCTTGGATAGGAATACTACCGTGGGAGAGAAAGTTGCTGAGTGCATACAAGAAAAGTAGCATGACAAATTACGAGCCTTCGCTTAAATTAACCAACCTTCAACGACTTCCCGCCCTTCGCATCTTAAGACTGATATCTCAAACGCATCCGAACTCACTCGAACGTATTTGCAAATCTGGTCTCTGCCCCCAAACTCCAGCGACCGCTACTATGGGTCCTTCAAGCCCAGAGATCAGTGTACATATCAAAGCGCCTGACTTCGAGCTCATCACCCCCGAAGCTGCGTCCCGCATGCCCCAGGAACGCGTATTCTTGCGTGGCGGCGTCAAGATCGTGAAAATCTCGCCGACCATGGTTATGAAGTACGGAGATAGCGTGCATATGAGCGAAGCCAGGACGCTGGAGTTCGTACGGCATCACACATTGATTCCGGTACCGCGGGTCTACGCCGCGTACACACATGGGCCATTCGAGGAGCGAGATGAGGAGTGGGCTTCAAAATATGATACCTACATTTTTCTAGATTTTGTGGAGGGTCAAACTTTGGAGAAAGAATGGGTTAATTTGGGCGACGACGAGAAGTCATGTGTAATGCACGAGCTTCAAGGTTACCTGGAACAGTTGCGAGCTGTGCCGGGAGGTACTTATATTGGATCTATTAACAACAGCCCGGTAATGGATGTTATTCTGGAGTATCAGCCCAATAAAGGTACTTGGCTCTACCGTTATTATAAATCACGTGTTAGATGAAGAAAGTAACCGTAATAACATAGGTCCCTTTCCATCCGAAGACGACTTTAACGCTACCCTTATCGATGCCTATTGTACTACCCATAAGGGCCACGTAAAGCCTTATATAACAGGCATGCTAGTCGCACACAAACACAAGATTGTCTTTACACATGCGGATTTCCAGCCAGATAATATTATAATAAAGGATGGCCACGTGAAGGGGATTATTGATTGGGAAATGGCAGGATGGTATCCAGAGCACTGGGAGTTCGTAAAGGCGTTCTATATTTGTGACTGGCGGAATGATTGGGGGACGCGACTACTTGGTGCAATAAAGCCGTATTATTGCGAGCAACTTGGTCATGCACGATTGACCCAAATCTTATTCTAGTTGAACCTGGAAAAAAGATTGGCACTGGGCAGAGCACTCCTATGGGGTTTCTTTTGTTGCTTTGGAGTTATGAAATAAGATGATATACTGAACGGCGCTAAATTAGCGGATTCACGCTGGTTTCTCACCTCACTGTCTCGCGGCCGAGCACCCCGCGTTCCATGAAACAATCGACGCATCACGACGCGGTGTTCTGACGGATGTCAATTGGTTGTTCATTACTAAGTTGATTATATTCCTGTATGGTCCATAATTATTCGTTGGTAGTACTGTAGATGTGGACGTACAGCTTCCCGCTAAGGAGTCGACCGAGGACAGGGGCTCGGCAACGATACTTAAGTATCATGAATCAATTTTCTCTTCTTGAGTGACAAAGTCAATCAAACGATGAGATTGAGAAGGGAGGTATTCAGATCATAACATATACAGCAGGAAGGAATTTATAAAGGGAAGAAAAGTACTCTCCTCAGGGGATCTATGTTGATCCAACTTACATGGTAGTAAAGCGGTGAATATATTTTTGGAAAGTGTCCACTTGAGGTTCCTTAGGTTTGTTTAGGCTCCTTGAGCATTGTCATTAAAACTTGACAAAAGTGATGTGAGAGAATAGAGGTCAGAGCAAGTGTGATTAGTGAGAAAGCGAGAAGTTAAAAGACGTGACGATGTAGTAAATCTTACTCAGGATGATCAGCCCTGCTCAGGTGAGCTGCCCAGGGTGCTCAAGTTACTCAGGCGAGGTGACTAAGCTGAGGGTGAACAGAGGGTGATTAGCGACAGAGCAAGAGCAGCAAGCTAACTAACCCCATACGGCACTCAAGAAAGAGAAAATTGATTCATGATACCATGATATACGGTATGTGGAATAGGTAGATGTAATATAATCTGTAATTTTAGTTTTATTAACTTTACTACCCTGACTTCAAAGTGCGAGAGTGATTTCAATGTAACGGCATCAATTTAATGCACAGGCTGACTTCAGGATCCAAAATCTTCAAGTTCCTCTCCAATCCAAGAACTGGCCACCGGTTTTCAGATACTATTAGTAGATCCAAGCTATTATATCTCCAAATTCACGCTGGCTTTCACCACAATGACTCAGAGACTTCCACCTCATTGACTCCCACCTGATTCTTACTTCCGGCTCAGTCCTCTCAATCTGACCTACAAATATTACTACAACTGTGAACTGTGACCATTAGGAGGGAAATTCGGTTCTTGCAATACTACTGCCGGTCTGGCAACTAGAAAGTTGATTAGCGTTAACTACCCAATAAAACGACAGTTTTGAGGAGACTTGGACTTCTTGAATCTTACCATGCTGATCGAGGTGACCAGGGTAGGCTCCGTCACTTAGCTTACTCTGGAATCTTGGAGCAAAGGAGAAATTTAAGGAGGCGACTTTACGTGCCCAAGTCTAAGGCTCCCGGGATCTAAATGGCCAGATCTTTACATCTATTCAGAAGTTTCACAAGGTATTGTTCACGATGAGATAACCACGTGATTTTATTCTTACTAATGAGAGATGATCTAATAATTGTTTTTTATTACAAGGTTTAGGTAATACTAGAAATTTGAGTATTTGAATGCCATATATTAATATTTAATAAATAAGAAGAAGCTATTATATATCTTATCTAGTTACTTTTAACTCCTTTATATCTTTAACTTAAAACAAATAAGGCTTATTTATAAAGTCTCTAGATCTCGCCTTTTAATACTTACTATTATAAAAATATAGAATTATTTTACTAATAAGATATATCCGGGATATATCTTACTAAAATTAAAGTCTCTTATTATTCTTAATACCGGTATAATAACTTTAATTATGAATCCGGAGATAAGTTTACTTTATAAGTTCTTTTTAAGTAGTATTTATTATAATTCCCAGATGCCTCCTAGACGCACGTGACGCGGCCGCCTTGCTAGGGAAGTATGCTTGGAATGTACTAGAGATATTTAGAAGGCTAAGCCCCTTCGGGACTAGTACACTATAGGGTGCATATACTCCCTCGCAGCCTCCTGTATTTTAGTTTTCCCTTCTTTAGCTTTGAATCGTCTTTATAAGGGACCTTCTATCTTGCTTTCCAAGCCCTGAATACTGTACCCGTAATAGTATTGAAATAAATCTAGGATTTTATAAAGATAATAAAGTATAAATAAGAAATCCCAAGGGCTAAAGAAATAACGGAGTTCCTAAGGCATTTTCTTTAAAGAACTTAAATTTGAATTCTGTAGGACATTTAAGTTTTAAGAAGGAATTCCGTAAAGATAGTAAAATTACTAGATGTGACGGCTGGTGTAAGGGCATAATCTGCTAAGGACAGGATATCGGAAACAGGTATAAAACGAAGCTAAGCCAGGATTACTTGGACGGAATAATACTAAAGGTCAAGGCATTCTCCCTACTTTATTCTATAGCTTAGTATTTTCTAATATATGAGATTCTTTGAACTTTGAGCCTTTGACTATTATATTAATCCTGCTATTATATAATATTAAGCTTACTCGACTCGGCCTATAGAGGTAATATAATACTGCCGGTAAAGGACCCGTATTTGTCCTTGGAAAGCGAAAATAGAATACCGCTTTTAATATTCAATAACCTCTTTGAACTATAAAGAACTAGAGAGCTTAACTAGAAGCATAATATTCTCTATAACCTAGTTAATTTCGGAGCCTGACCCTTAACTAGAGCAGATAATATTCCCCTCCTAGTAGTCGGTCCTCTACTAATATAAAAGAAGAAAGATATTATCCTCTATAATCCGGTTAATCTCGGAGCCTGATCCTTAACTAGAGTAGATAATATTTCCTTAATACTAATAAGAGTAAAAGAACCGGCTTCCTCCCCTGGTATAGGAAGAATCGGTAGTAGTTTACTAATTTAAAATAAGAAAAGATAATAGTCGGTTTTAGTCTACTGACTTAAAACTAGATAAGACAATAATCGGTTATAGTTTACTAATATTAAATAAGAAGAACTTACTTAGTACTTATCTCTATAGCTAATACCCCTTCTAAAGCTACTATAAATAGCCCGGGGCCAAGTACTACTACTATAGGTATATTAGATAAGAGGCCCTAGTATAATAAAACGGAGAAGCCGGACTTTAATATTATAAACCCATATTACTAGAAAAGCTATTATAATACTATTCCGGAAAAAGATATTAAGAAGTGGCTAGCCGATTTGGAACTCAAAATTAGTATAAATACTCTAAAAATAAATAAGGCCTAGTAGAGATTACTTATATAGGATAACCTTATTAATAAATACCGCCTTATAGCTAATAAACAAGTAGAATATTATTAGAAATTTCACTTATATATTAACTAACTTACTAAGAAAGTTAATAAGCTAGAAGTAATTACTAGTTGACTTTATATAAGGGAAAGACTAGTATAAGAAGAAGTAATAAAATAGAGATCTAAGTAAGTAGATATTCAGGAATACTATAGATTCCTGTTAGGAGAACTATTTAGGGACTAATACTAAGGCTTTCTCCCGCTTTCTATCTATAGTAATTAATTATAGCTTATTAGAATTAAGGATCCTGCCCTATTTATAGGTAAGAATAATTACTAGATTAATAACTAGATATTTAATATAAGAAATAAACTAATATAGAACTTCTCTGAATTTAATAGTAAACTACTAAAGATTACTTATATAGTATAATTAGTTACCGGAAATGCCCGTAACTTTATTTATAATTAACTAGAACCTGAATTAGTTAGATAAATCTTAATTACTAAATAGATTTTTAAGATTCTCTAGTAAGCTTATAGTAAAAGTAAAGAGATAGAGTACTAGAAAGTAAAAGAGGTATACTAGTACCTGAGATAAGGAAATAAGCTATTCCCGGTATTCTAGGTAGAATTTACTTACTTAATAATAAAACTAGGGAAGTTACTAGATAACTAATATAATAACTTAATAAATAAAATAAATCTCGAATTACTTAAAAGCTTGGGTAATAAGAAGTTTAATACTTTTAGGAATCTTACCGAGTAATATATAAAATAAGAGAATAGGCTTCTTTTAATTAAAAATCGGTAATTCCAGGAGAAATAACTAGTAGAAATTACTTATTACTAAATACTACCTCGGGCTAGAAAGCCTGCCGGGATCCAAAGAGCTATAATAATCTTATATATAATAAATTAACCTTAGTAGCCGGTATTTTTATAGCTAAAAAAGGTAGTTTGCCGAGAATTTGAGAAGAGACTAGACTGGCTAAAGGGCCTTTATTATTATAGCTATAGGAAGCCTAGATATATAAAAAGTATTTGTCCTGACTTTAATAAGGTTATATCTATTAAAAAGAATTATTTAGAGAAAGCTAATAATTTAGGGATAAATAATAAGGATACTAACTCTTACCTATTATCTAATAAGGAATATAATATTAATAAGTCGAGAAAAGTCTAGCTTTAGGTATAGAGATAGATCTCCTAAAGCAAGAACTTTACTAAGAACCTGTAGATCTCACTTAGCTAATTAGCGGGAACTAGTTCCTTATTAATTATTAAGTATACTAGAAAGGCAAAACTATAACCTTCTAGTATTTAGTAAATACTAGAGTAAATATATATATTCTAATTAACTAAAAGTATATTTGCCCCTTAATAAAAGTATTATAAATACCCTTATATAAACTCAAAACCCCTGTTCCCTTACGAGATTTTAATGAATAATCTAGTAAAGCTATTTAATATCTAGCTATTATAGATCTAGTTATTAATTAATACTCCCAAACTTAATAATACTTACTTATTACTAACCTTAGCTCTTATAATATAATCCTAGAAAGGAAATAGCTAGTAAAGTATAATATCCTACTAAACTATTAATGGAATTAACTCTATTAGCCAGAGAACTATAAGACAAATTAGCCAGATCTTATTTAGAAAATCTAATATTTTAATAAGAAATATTAAAAAGATAATTACTCTAAAGATACTCTAACTAGAATCCTAAAAAAGACTAGTAAAACCAGACCCGAGAAGTAAAAGAATATATTTCTTATCTCTCTATAAAACCTTCTTATAAGAAAAGCCAAATACTAGATAAGAAAAGAAAAGCTAGACCTTAATACTCTCGAAATAGTCGAACTACTAGACTATTTCTACTATTTCATTAGAGTAGCTACTTTCTAATTAAGTACTAAAGATCCCGGTAACTTAGTTAGATC